GGGGGACACGACAGCCCATTTTCCCTTAATGTGCAGAACAGCAATTAAAGGATGAAATGAGGGGGTAAAAAGACCTCCACGGCCTTGACAAGAAGACAAAGGGAAAGGAGAGGAATGTAGTTCAAGCATAGCAAATCCTGGTGGCCTCACCCTGCAGCACCTGTGGCAGGACATGACAGGCTTTCGCACACAGTGGGATTCTAGTAACTCCCCATCCGTCCTGATTTCCTCCATTGAACAACATGATGGTGCCCCCGTGGCCAGTGTTTGGACATGCTGTCTCTTTTGAAGATAGCTTGCCAGAGTTCTAGGGAAAGGTGAGGGTGCATGTGTCCACCTTACAAGTCTGTTTGGGGGCCGGGCGGTGGTGGCGCACGCCTTTAATCCCAGCACTCGGGAGGATGAGCCAGGTAGATCTCTGTGAGTTCGAGGCCAGCCTGGGCTACCAAGTGAGTCCCAGGAAAGGCGCTAAGCTACACAGAGAAACCCTGTCTCGAAAAACAAACAAACAAACAAACAAACAAACAAACAAACAAACAAAAGAGTCTGTTTGGGAACCAGGATATCCAGGACAAATTCCTGTCTTTCAGAGCCACCATGGGAAATGCCACCATCCCTTCATTCCTCTCCATTTCGGTCCCCAGGTTTTTAATTGTATTTTATTCCAGCTCCTAGTCAAAGACAACTGAAGGGAAATATGGATCGAGATAAGGTCTAGGGAAATTAAACTGAGTGCGTGCAGCACACACGTCCCTGTCACCTTCCTCCAAGCCCTGCCATTCATGTAGACACTAGGCTAGGGGTCAAGAGGCCAGTTTGAAGAGGCAGAGTAAGTACTGGTAGACTGGGACAGGAAGCGCCTATGGACATGCGTTAATCTGCAAACACAGCTGTGAGCACTTAAGTTAGGAGGGTGGGAGAGGAAGTCGGGACACAGCTAAAACTAAACAGTGAAATATGGTGGGGGACTCTGGCAGAACATACAGAGTGTGAAAGGGAAACTGAGTCTCTTGATACTTTCCTTGGTCTTTGCTTCCATGGTGCGTCTGCAGTACAGGCCTCTCACTTTGGACTGACTACTTAAGAGGTTTCTTTTGTAACTCTCCTGAGAATTCCTCTCAGGGTAGGAGCATAACCCACATCTGCACCCTGCTTATGAGGTCCCTGGAACGAACCAAAGGTTGATTCCACCAAAGTTCACCCTGAGGAGCAATGTGTTTATTAGGCTTATTTATATAGAACATGGGTGAGAGGCCGCTGCAGTGTAGAAGGATGTGTGACCCTAAAGCAGCCTTTCTGGATGGTCTGCACTAAGCATGGGGGTCAGTTTCCCAGTGCCCACATAGATGGTGGTCCATTGGGCTAACCTTCCCTAGCCCAGGTCATGTAGCTCAAGGCCATGAGACCTCAAGGCCATGTGTAGTTAGGGCGTTTCATACATATGTCTGGGAGGAGTAACTGGGAACAGAGGTGAGGGTCCAGTGATCCTCTCTGCTCCCTCCTTCTATACAGAAATGTCAACAGTCCACATGCCCGATTGGGATTGACTCTTTAACTTTGAACCTTAAGCCTCTCATTCTGTCTGAGCAGTTACACGGGATTGCTAAGGACAGATCTTGGACTGCGAGTCTAGAGGGCATCAGTGTGTTAACCGGCCATCAGCGGGCAGAGATAATTGCTCATTCCTGCTGGGAACTGCTGTTGACTTATACTTTGGTGTCCCCCTCATGGATTTCATCAGATGCTGTGCACGCTGAGAGACAGCCCATGCCTGAATCTTGCAGTTTAATTTGTCCTTCCATTGCTGCTATAACCAGACACCACCCACAAACAAGCCTTTGTCTCCCTTGCATAACTGAATATGCTTACCTTTTGATTTAAATGCAAGCTCTGAGGAAAATGGTGTCCCTCTTTTAGAAACCAAAAATAATCTTGCTTGATGACGTGTGTGTGTGTGTGTGTGTGTGTGTGTGTGTGTGTATGCATGCATGCACGCGTGTGTGCACACATGCTGATTGATGGGAGTTAAACATAAGGCCCTTGCAATATGCAGTTTCTCCATCACCGAGTTGTACTTGCCTGTACTCTCCACCTTCATCTGTTCAGACTTAGATTTCATATTGTATTACTTTCATTTTCCCTGTCTTATTGTATGCATCATGCAGACGCCTCAGCTTTCGTGGCTGGGGAGAGGTAGGCCTTCTTTCTCCTTAACTTTGCTATCATGGGCAAAATTCTGCTGGTGTCTGGCAAGTCCAGTTGTAAGCACTCAGTGTCTCCTGCTGGCAGCTCTGTATTCTTGTGTCATGGAGCATCAGTCAGCTCAGTGGGATTCACTGTCCCCTTTCGGCCATAGGAGCCGAAATCTTCCAGTAAGTTCCCCAAATGACAAACACAAAGGGAAAGAGGAAGGACACCAGCTGTATGTACTCTAGGCCTTTTAGGAAGCGTAGACTCGTTCCTTTGGCCACATGCAAGTGAGTCTACAAGAAGGGTACTGTTGTAGACATCAAGGGAATGGGCACTGTTCAAAAAGGATTGCTCCATTAGTGTTATCATGGCAAACCAGGAAGAGTCCACTGCATTACCCAGCATGCTGTGGGTGTCATTGTAAACAAGCAAGTTAAGGGCAAGATTCTTGCCCACAGAATCAATGTGCGGATTGAGCACACCAGGCTCTCCCAGAGCCAAGATGGCTTCCTGAAGGAGGTGAAGGAAAACTACCAGAAGAAAAACGAAGCCAAAGAAAAGGGCTCCTGGGTGCAGCTGGAGCACCAGCCAGCCGCTCCACCCAGAGAAGCACACTTTGTGAGGACCGACGGGAAGGAGCCTGAGCTGCTGGAGCCCGTTCCGTGTGAATTCATGGTTTAATGTACAAGAGGGAATAAATAGCCCCGTCTGTGAAAACAAACCAGACAACAAGAAATATTTTCACTTGCCACACGCTCAGTGCTCAGAGGAAGTTAAAGTGACTGGCCCAAGTAGTTCAGCCGCATGGTGAATTTTATTGCCAAGGATTCCTCTGAACCGCCCCCCCCCCTCCCCCACATGTTCTCCAAGGACTCCATTGTTATTGTGTGACTACATTTTCCTCATTCTGGGGACCTTACAGCCTTTAAAATATATGTGTAAACTCACCCGAGGGCCAGTTAAAACAGAAAAGGGACCAAAAGCAGAAGGCAGTAGACACAGGCGTTTGCTGGAGAGCAGTAGTGAGAACAGTTTTGTAGTTTTCCATGGGCGCGCCTGCTCCTCCTCCCTGCGGCAGAGCTGGTCTCAGGTGCCCTGGTCCTAGTGCTCCTCAGCCTATGCTTGTCCTCACCAACTTCTCACCACCGGCTCCTCCCCTTTTCTGCAGATCTGGGTCCTTCCAGGCGCTACTCCTCTTGCTGTGGCAACGAGTCCTTTCTAAGAACCCTGGTGGTGGTCAGTTCTGAGCTCTAGGCAGGAAGAGCCATGATGGCACTGTGCTCTCCGCCAGCTGCTGAGGCGTCAGGCGTGGTGGTATTGGCAGTCCCCTCCAGCACGGGCATGCTGGGTCTCTCATGGAGACTGCTCTTTGGAAGGTTGTCGTGTGGGCTGATATTTCTCTCCACAGGGTCCAGATGTAGCTGCTGCTTTGGTAGTTAAGAGTCCCTTCCCTATTAACTAGACCCTGGTAATCTTAAATGATAGTAATAGCCATGTTCTACATATTTTACTTCTTTTTTTTTTTTATTGGTTTTAGGTTGAAAGATGTCATTTGCCAGAATTTTAGATGCATGCATGTAACTGTGATAGTCAGTCTTGGTTATCAACCTGAACAGACTGAGAAGTGCCAATGAGTTACTTGGGTATACCTCCGAGATACATATGAAGGCATCTCTAGAGACAATTAGATCCTGAGGACTCTGACCTAATCAGTGGTTTCAGTGATGGGTTTGTAATCTGATGGTATTAATGGGAAGTAATGGATATTTTCAGAGGTGGGGTCTACTCGGAGGAAGTAGGTTTCTGGAAGTGTGTTCTAAGGGGTATATCTTGTCCTGTTCCCTTTCCTCATCTTTCTTGACTGTCTTAGAGTAGCCTTCTCCACTGGCCATACCTTTCCATCATGGCACTGTCAATTGCCACAGGCCTGAAAGCAATGGAGCTAGCTGGCCATGGATTGGAACTACGAGCCAGAATAAAAATTTCCTCCTTTAAAATTGTTTCCCTCAGATATTTGTTGGGATTATAATCTGGTTAGCATAGGTAACTCTGTTTCTATGATGGCATACCTAGGGTTACTAGATTGTAACTAGGGGTGTAGAAACTCCTCAAGCTCAGAGAAGCCTTGGGATGTCACTCGGTAGGTGGGAAATGTCTACAGTGTATTGTGTCTTCCTTTTTGGTTTTTCTTCTTGTCTGGGAAACATCGGTATTTAGTTGGCTCCAGACATTTCAAACTGAAGTTGATTGAAGTTAGAAATCGTCCATGTGGTCCCTCCACCTGCAATTCCAAAGGATGTCAGAGTTGCATTGAGGGCTAGCCTCATCTCCACCTGCAATTCCAAAGGCTGTCAGAGTTGCATTGAGGGCTAGCCTCCTCTCAGCTTGCTGACGTGTCACTGGAGTCTGGAGGATTTGTGATGTGTCTCCCAGTCCTTTTCCTGGGCTCTTAGCTCCCACTCTTCCATGTCAGTCTTCACAGCAGTTCCACAGATGCTCAGCTCTTCCTGATCACTCTGTTGTTGTCCAGTGGGTTCCTGCTACTCCGAGATCTGCAGGTGCTCACAACTGCTGAGTTATCCATAGCCACAGGTGTCTTGTGAGCTTGGGCCCTGCGTCCCTTGCCTGTTGTCAAAAGGCCCAGGAACATATCAAATTTAGCCAAAGAATAATTTATTGTCTTGCCCTCAAAACCATATTCAATTTTCATGAAAGGCACTGCATTCCACCCAGTTGCCCAAGCCAACAGTTCAGGGCAGTGGGTTGGTGTGTTGAATTCTGTAGGAAACTAACTCTAAGATGGAGATTGGCAGAGTGAGCACACTCATAGCATGAACTGGAAGTGTCTCCCGATTCACACTTCTTCACTCCCAAAAGAGAAAGAGGTAAAAAAAAAAAAAAAATTCATCATGACACTCATTCATGCTGAACACGGATCTAACCCAGAATCCTTCCTCACCTGCTGCCCTTCACACTCATCGGACTGGTATGTGGGATGAAGTCTTTCATTGACGTTTGAGCAATAGTGCACTCTTAGGTATCTTTACGGATCTCCGAATACCAGTGTTATCAATAACAGGTATGTGGGTCTTAGTGACATCAACAGTAGATTGCGTGCCAGGAGGACAGGGTGGTGGACACGAGAAAAGACTAAATGGATAAAATGGGCAGAAGTGTATCCTCCTCAGGCGGTCCTGGAATGCCATCCCCAGAACCAGAGATAACCAGTGTGTCCATGGGACCAAAGGGTTCTTGTGCTAAATGTCACTACTTTTCTCTCTCCTCTTTTGCTGCAGGTTACGCTACAGTAAATATTTTGGGGGTGTTACTGCCCTCAGCAGAGAACAGTTTTTCAAGGTGAATGGATTCTCTAACAACTACTGGGGATGGGGAGGCGAAGACGATGACCTCAGACTCAGGTGAACAACAGAGAAGGGGGCCTTCATGGGGCTCTTCTAATCAGTGGTGACTCTGGAAACCTGTGCTTGTGTGCTGCTCCTGTAAATGACAGGCCAGCAAAGGGTGGCAGGGTATGAAGGGAGGGCAGAGTGACCTAAGTTGTTCTTTGTCAAGTCTAGAAACCAAGGAGGATCGTCTGTTGCTGGGTTTGAGGTGCAGAAGTGTTGGTGGGGGCCTTGGGCACACTAGTGAATGGGAAGGCCCAAACTTAAGGTTGTCTGTGAGACTGCCACTCTGAGAATGGCCTATGATAAGTCTTGTGCTTTTCTTCAGCGCCC